AAATTTGATTTTTGAAAAAAATAAGTGTTATATAAGTGAATAGTACTTGTAGATATTATGAAATATTTAATTAAATTGAAATTTAACTTTGAATTAAGAAAAATAAAATAAAAAGACAACGATATCTGAACACCATTTAACAAATGAAAAATCACCTCGTAACTCTAGGTGAAAGATATCCTTTTTCATTTCTAATTCCTATGGATAAAAAATGGTCATTCATTTGAAAGAAGACATTATCTTTATCCAAACAATTCAACAAATACACTTTGAAGGGTGACGCATTCATGGCAACAACTTTAGTTATATTACATGATTTTCATATGCAAAGTTGGCCGTCAAAATTAAATAAATCATGCTTTCTTTTCCATCATTGTGAACGCAAACATACATTTATGTCACATACACACGGGGAAAGATCCACCCTTTTCTAGATATCACTAATAAAAAATTGTCAATAATTTCAATTTCATATTGACATATTAAACAACAAATATGAACCAAAAACAATAAAGTAGATTTTCAAATCTTGTGAAATCTAATCACTTGGAAACTTTTTATGTGCATAAGAGGTCGATTTACGATCCACCAACTAATTTAATAATTCATCTATTTTATACTTGATTACGTTGTCATATCAAGAACGTTCAAGATAATAAAATAAACTTACTAAAAAAAGGGATAATAAAATGAACAACCCATTAGAAGCCACTAAAATTGACCTTCATATGTAATTATAAAATATGTCTCTCACACCACAAAAAAAAAAAAAAAAAAAAAAAAAAAAAAAAAAAAAACCTATAACTTGTAAAATAATGCAGGTGTTAGCATTGTTCGATATGTATTATTTAAGTTTTTAGATTAAATGTTTCAATAGTAATTTATAAACATACACCAATATAATTTTTTTTATTTAATTATAATTTATTTACCAACATGATATGTATCAAGGGGCCCTCGTGAATATTGGCTCCCTTTCTACCATAGTAGACCAAAAAAAAGGCCTATAGCTCTACCACAACTATACAATATCTTCTCTTAAAAGGTAAAGTTTTAAGGATGACAGATTTTTTGTTTGAGTTTTCTTTGGATACTCCTACTTATAAAAAATATAACATTTATTCGTTGGTCGTTAATACCTTAGTATATAGATGAGAGTGTTAACATGGTACAAACTTACATAAAAGAGTTGAATTTAAATTTTATTGTCACTTATTTTGAAAAATATTATTACATCTCAGGTCGTGAAATGGAATACCAGCCAATAGAAAAATACCAGCAAAATAATTGCTGCTTTCCACGGTCCTGAATCTCTTTAACCAACCCACCCACCCCTGCGCCAAATCCTTTCCAGTTCTCCATTGCCTTGGGCATAGCTAGAAAAAAAAATAGCATTTCTAGATAGATGAAAGCGAAATATTTGGACTGCATCAAGAGATGATGTGTCTAAGACAATGTTTAAATAAGTAAATATGATTTTTCTTTGACAATTTAAACTTTAAATGAAATGAACGGTGTTACATGTTTACATACTTCTTGGCATGATACCAATTGAAGCCTTCACAGCTACATTTTCATGGTTTCTGCAACTTAACACCCTTAGCAAATCATAACCCCATTTGTTTCTCCTATCAGTCCGGCGCATCGGAGCCTTCTCTCCGGCATCTATCCACGGAAAAATACTCCCGGTTCTGCATCGAATCTGCCGGTTTTTTATATCTTGAAGATCCATCTCGGGTGGAAATTTTACAGACCCAAACATGAAAATATTCCATCTTGGCTTTAATGCCCTAAATGACCTAAACCCTAAAGATTTGCTGCTTCGCAATAGCTCGGTGTTTGTACCGTTTGATCTCATGATCTTCAACTCATCCGATGATTGACATCTTCGTCTATCGGTCCCTTTCGATTTCTCATCATCTCGAAGGGGATACTTCTGAATATCATCAAGAACATTATCAGGTTGGATCTTGTAAGGTAAAAGCTTACCACAGAAAATAATTTCTTCTGCATGAGACATTTCAGAACTTAAATCACTGAAAAATTCAAAGAAATTGGACGGCGATGATTGCATGACATGATTCTTGGATAGGTCTTTGATGATCTGATCATTTTCATCCGCGTTTATGGGAAAGTCACATAGGGAAAGGTCTTCATCTAGTTCTTCTGCTAGTGATTCTTGATCTTGAATATCTGCAGTATGAATCATTTTAAGAGAGTGTAGTTTTGGTGGAGAAAAATACAAGAAAAATGGTGTAATATATTGTGAAAATTTACTTGAATATATTTGGTACATATATATAAAATTGGAAAGGAAAGAACTAGTGCATGAAAATGACAGGACGGAATTATTCTAGTGCAAGATCATATCTTTTATGAAATTTAAGTAATGCTTTTCATATCTTCTGAAAGACCGAATTTGAAGTTTGAAATGCTTAGTCACAAAGACGTTGAGCACGCACTAGACTATAAATTATAATGCAAAAGCAAAAAGGGTGTTTAATTGTGTTTAAAAGTATCTCAAACTTACTTATAAGTTAATTTGTCAAACATGATTCTCAATTTTTTTTCCTATTAATTACTCTCTTAAAAAAAGTAAAGTTTAAGCACACATGGAATCGATAGGGGGCAGATGTTTCTGAAAATCCGCTATCCACTATCGACTACTCCCAAATTCTTTAAATATTTTTGTAAGCTTGGAGCTGGTATTCAATTACTTGAAATCGGACTTGGATATCCAAAGAAATTGAAACTCAAAAGTCCTTTTCTCTAATTCATATGTTCGCATCTCTCTTAATGTGAAAATATTGATTAATAGAAGCTTCTAAACATGCTCAAATTTTAAATTCCTTTTCTTTTTCAATTGTATCTTAACACATTAAACATGTAATTTTTTGGGGCTATTATATTGTTTTTAGCAGCAATTTTAATTTTATATATATTCCATGCCTTCTAAAAGCAGCAATAGAGGAAGTCCAAAACGATGGCGATGAGGCACGATATAATAACGATTTCTAGAAAGACAAACTTTATGCTTACTATTTGAATACTGAAGAAAAAGAGACTTGCAAAGGGGCAATATATTACTCAAGTTGGAAATTTACTTTTTCTCACTTAACATTTATTTTTCTAAAATTCATCATTGAAATTTCAATATTGTTTACTATCATCTAAAGATTTGTCACAAAATTTAATGTCTTATCCGATCTCAATCATATAATTTCAGTCACAATTGTGGAATTTAAGAACCATTATTGACTTGCAACACTTCTTAAATATGTTTTGTAAATAATTTAAATCACAACTACGAATGCAATAAATAAATTATCTATCATTAAATAAAAGAGATTTTTCATGAACATTTGAGGTTGAATTTGTTAATATTATGAGTTTATTCTCACATAAATTATATAGGAATATATTAATTAATTTGACGGCTGACATTTGAAGATGGATTCCAAGATTTAATAGTTAATATCAAATAATTAAATGTTGACTATTTACAGTTAATTTATATTCTCTTATTCTTCAAGAAAAGTTTAGTAGGGTTTGTAATGCATAGATATTTCACGCACACACAAAATTTGATAAAATTGCTTCTTCTTCTTCTTCTTCTTCTTTTTTAATTGTTTATGATAAAAATCTAAATTATATAATGACGACTTCAAAATTATTTGTCAAAATATTTATGTTCCCACTTAATGTGTCCATGTTTATGCTTTACAATATTAAAAATTTCTTTGACATTTCAAATAATGTCGAGCCTTATTCTTATTTGACATTTTTCATTTCCAATATTAAAAGATCTTCATTTTTTTGTCAAATCATGCAATAAATGCAAGAGAGATATATACTTTATGTCATAAACAAAAGAGAATAAAAGGAGTCAAAATTCTTGTATGTAGTATTGAGAACCAATTCTGAATATTCAAATGTTATGATTAGGACTGTAGGAATATGATAATAATGAAGAAAAAAGAGTGCAATCACTCACCGTATTTCAATCAATGCAAATTTACGTATTGAATCATCCATGTCATGTGCTCCAATATCTACAACTCCATAATTCTAGTCAAATATTTTTCACATTATTGTCTTGTTATAGTCTAAATAGTATGATCTTCATACAAAACATTCATTTATCAATAGTTGACTGTAGTGATCATGATGATCGATGCAATTATATTGGAAATATATGTTGTTGTTTTCTTTAGGATCTTGTATACGATATGTAACATATGATAAGTAAAACTATAAAGTTACGATAGAAAATGTCTTATAGGTTATGAAATTTATAACGGTAATAATTTGAACATTTTCTTTGAATATCTATTGAACAAAGAATATACACCGTTAAAATCTTACTAAGATAAACCCAGTATAGGAATATTATACATTGTCTAATTGAATATGCTAAGAAAATTGCCTCATTAAGAACTTTGTACGAGAACCTGATGAGACTAGTATCACCCAATTATTCAGGATTAGACAAAATCTCATTATATTGAAAAATCTTCTATTATTTCAATAGACACTCTCAATTATTTTTCGCATTATTATTGCTTCGAGATGATCTAACTGATCATGTCAAATAATAAATTTTTTAGGATATTGAACTTTTGATTCATTGCAATAGATGTTGCAATTGCACTCATAAGCGTGCAATACAAATTATGATATACATATTTAAAACATACTTGGTTTCTTTTTTATATTCTGAGGAGCAAAAGAACTATATTAATTTTTATTCATCGCAAATAACAACATATTGACTCTTCTGGAGCATTCAATTAGATCTACGGAATCTGAAATTATTTCACGATATTTTTTATTATTCTTGCACAGAATCTGAAATTATTTCATGATATTTTTTTATTATTCTTGAGTTTCTCCTCCAAGGAGCAATCACAAATTCAATTAGATACTATTGCCAATACCAAATATAATCGAGCATAACCCATATGATTTAATGAATTCATTGCCGTTCATACTAAACTAACAATAGTATGAACTTGGTGGTTATAATGTCCACATATATCAACATTTATAATATCTTCCCCTTGGACACACAATCAAAACATAAATGCACTCATATATAACAAGAGTAATAATAGTACTTAATGAAACAAAAAATTATGTCTAAATATTTTAATGATGTTGATCAAATATAACATAGCTTTAAGCATGTCAGCTTATTACTTTAAGAATATTGTCAATCAAAACATAACTTTACAGCAGCAAATAAGCTTTAAAAATAATGCAATTTATACTTTTATTAATTAAGAAACTTCAAATTTTAGTTCGAATAGTTTACCAATTTTTAAAAAGATTACACTCAAATATTGCACAAATATATATTTCTCACGGGATTATATCCTATAATATTCGTCTAGAACTTTCATACTTGAAACATTGAAGTTGCATCTCTTTGATACCATCAACATTTTAAGTTTCTAGAAAATTGATGTACAGAGTTTATGCTTCTTCGGGAACAAAAATATAGAATGTTGTTAAGCCCCTGTTTGGGTTAGAAGAAAAAAAAATTAGTAAACTTTGATAAAATTTGATGGAATGTGTGGTTGAAAAGCTGAACATTCCATTAAATGTATTGACTTTGATCTAAATTTAATATAACCTTTTAATTGAATCTAATATGGACTAAATATTGATATGATAAAAGGTTATGGTTCTACTGAACTTCACGACATTACAATATTCATCTAGAAAATAAACTATTATTAATTTTATTACTTTAAGATCAGTTTTGATATATATAAAGTTTTGTGGATTAAAATTGAATTTCGAATTTCCAAACTTTGGACTTCTTCAAATATCTAATGAATGTTGTGGCGAACATGACTCTATCTTAGCATTCTCAACTGAGAATGAACTTTTGTTTGGTAGAATAAGTGTTTTAAAAGGCCCACCCATGCACCACCTTTAGCAAATGCTATTTTCTTGTTTTGAATCTCAACCTAACAAAATGCTTAATCACTAAAAATTAAAAATGAATAAGTCCAACAAAAACTCTCCATGATCCAAACCTAGGTCACCAACGTAGCTTTCTCAGATCACGAACAAAATATTATTGATTTTAGATATTTGTGATTTTGAGAATTATGCTTTTGTCGGAAACTTGTCAAATATGTATTGCATTTCTATAACTTTAAAAGGTTTTTAATGCATAGGCTTGTAACACTTGAATTTGACCACCATATCTTGTTATGCATTGCACCTTTTGCAAATTGGGCGCAAATATAACAAAATTGCAAATTTCACAAACAAAATATTATTGATTTTAGATATTTGTGATTTTGAGAATTATGCTTTTGTCGGAAACTTGTCAAATATGTATTGCATTTCTATAACTTTAAAAGGTTTTTAATGCATAGGCTTGTAACACTTGAATTTGACCACCATATCTTGTTATGCATTGCACCTTTTGCAAATTGGGCGCAAATATAACAAAATTGCAAATTTCTTGACTTTCATTACCAGTTTACACTTAGATTTGATTAATTAAGATTTAGCCTACAATCTACTATAATCATCCCCTCTCCCTGAAAGCCTTTCCAGGGACCTAGCCCTCTTTCTCAATCTGAGTTTTAAGTTTAGCAAGTTTCATCCTTGACAAACACCTGCACTAATAAGATAAAATAAACTACAACGATTCTTAGATTCTTCATCTATGTATAATCCTAATGAGAATAGAAGCCAATCACTTTCTCATGCAGTAATAGTCTTTTGGTCAACGCTTAAAATATTCTCTCATGCACTCTGGCACGAATTAAATTGTGCGACTGAACTTTGTGGTGGTTCCAGTGAAGATGATGAGTCCGGAGGTGGTGGTTTGTAGAGAAGGAGTTTTTTCGGTGAAATTTACCCAAACTTATAGAAAACCTATTTTGTTCTTGCTAGCAATTAAGGATTATTCATAAAGGTAACTATTGAAATACAATCAACCAAGCACACGTGACTGATTCAGCAAGCGGACAACTGTACATGGATACTGTTAGCTGGTTGTTGTAGCCATATTGATTCTTACATGTATAGGTTAAGTTTGTTACTTCATTTTTTTGCTCACCACTCCAATCATGTGTATAAATATTGTACTTCATACTGTTAATTATTATTAAATCATATACGTTCTAAAGTTCTTTGCAATTGTATCTGAATTTTATCTTGGTATCAGAGTATTTCAATGGCCATCGGATTCAACAACAGTGCACAGTCTGCTCAGCCAGCATCAAGCATGTTGATGCCTCCAATGTTGGGAAGAAATCAAATGACATCATTTGGTTACCTAAGTTCCTCCAGTAAAGCTAGATAGAAATAACTTTTCGCTGTGGATGAACATGGTTATGCCCATCATTAAGGGCCATACCTTGAAAGGTTCATCTCAGGCACTAGAAAATGTCCATCAGAATTCCTAGCCACACAAACCTTTGGTTCAACTGATGTAACTATTGAATTGACACCAAATGCTAAGTATGGAAAATGGATGTCCACTGATCAACTAGTAATGGGCTGGCTTTATTCTTCAATGACACCGGAGATTTCCATGAGAGTAATGGGATCTTCAAACTCCTGTAATTTGTGGAATGCTGTCCAGGAAAGTTTTGGAGTTATGAACAAGTCTAGAGTCACCTTCCTTATTGGTGAACTTCAGAGAACACAATAGGGCTCAATGAGTATTGATCAATACCTGAACACAGTCAAGCAGCTAGCAGATAACCTCGAAATTGCAGGAAAAGGGTTCCTCACAGTAACCTTGTGACCCAAATATTAGCTGGATTGGATGAGGATTACATTCCTATTGTGGTTCAAATTAACAATAGAGAATCCATCTCTTGGCATCAGTTAAAATCCACACTTATAACTTATGAGAGTAGGCTTGAACATATGAACGCTGTGAAAAACAACATGGTCTCAATAAACTTAAGCTAGGTCTCAGCAAACTTTGTGCATAAGTCAAACAGTAGCAGATGAGGTAGATCTAATTTTGGTGGTAGAAATAATAACTACAGGGGAAGAAGTAGAGGCAAATGAAGTAGGCAAATTGGAGAAAAGGGCCTGTGTCAAATCTGTGGAATGAATAATCACTCAGTAGAAAGACGCTTCAATCACTATGATGAAAGATACATGGGCACCAAACCCGATCGCCAGTACTAGAACAATCACCCAGGACCAGCTGTTTTTGTGACTTCACCAAGTACTGTTGCAGATCCAGCCTGGTATGCTAATTCAGGAGCAAGTAATCACGTTACTATTGTGAAAGAAAATTTGACTGAAGCTCGTGAGTATAATGGTAATGAAAGTCTTAGTGTTCACTCTGACTCTTGTGCTATTAAGGACAAACAAACCCAGAAGTTACTTCTGTAGGGAAAGCTTAAAGATGGATTGTATCAGGTTGAACACCCAAATGAACCAACAAAAAGGTCTTCCTACCAAGTGTCAGTCTACCCCAATAAGTCGAATTTCTCAAGTTCTGTAGTCAAGTCCAAAGTGTCTGATGTTCCCAAAAGTGCTAGAGAGTCTGAGTCTAGTTTTGAATTATAGCATATGAGACTTGGACATCTTTCCAATCGTGTGATGTCACAAGTGCTCAAGTCTTGTAACAAAAAATTTCATGACAATGAAAACTATCATTTCTGTGATGTTTGCCAGTTTGGTAAATCACATTCTCTACCATTTAAATTGTCTACCACAAATGCCTCAGCCCCCTAGACCTAATCCATACAGATGTCTGGGGTCCTGTGCCTCTAAATTCTACAAATGGTTTTAGATACCATATCTTTTTCATTGACGACTACAATAGGTATACTTGGATATATCCTATGAGAAATAAATAAGATGCCCTAGGTGTGTTTATTCAATTCAAAAGCTTAGTCGAAAATAAACTTGATAGGAAGATTAAGGCACTTCACTTAGATTGGGGAAGTGAGTTTAGAGCTTTTACTTAGTTCTCCAATCCGGTATTGATATCAGACTCTCCTGTCCTCACAGCCCAGTCCAAAATGGTAGAACGGAAAGAAAACACAGGCATATAACAGAAACCAGATTGACACTTCTAGCCCAAGCCAGTATGCCATTGCATTATTGGTGGGAGTCCTTTTAAACTACTACTTATTTGATTAACAGTTTTCCAACACCAGTCCTCAACATGAAATCACCCTGTCAAGTGCTATACAATGATCAAGTTGACTATAAGTTCCTAAAAGTCTTTGGATCTACCTGTTTTCCATGCCTTAGACCATACCAAAAACACAAATTCAGCTTTCATTCTATGAAATGTTTATTTCTTGGCTTTAGCAACTCATACAAAGGGTACAAATGCCTCATTACAATAGGTAGAATCTATCTATCCAGACATGTAATCTTCAATGAAAAGGAATTTTCCATGAAGATTGGTTTTCTTAACAAAACTGAAAATCCTCAAAAATCTGAAACCATAATCCAATATATTCCTTTCTTCAGTTCAACATACTCAACTGATGCAGCTCATCTTGACACAACCCCTGCAACAACATCTCACAGCATTAATTAGTTTAAGAAGTCTGATGATATGACACCAGAAGTGAATAAAAATGGAGGTGAAGGATCATGTGATGAGCAGGTTCCAATTGAACATTAAGATGACATTGATAATGATCAAATGAAACATAGTGAGTGATTATCAGAGAATGGTATAATTGGGTATACAGATCATAGAACATCCTATGACTACAAGAAGCAAAGCTGATATCTTTGAACCAAAAGTCTACTCAACTCAATGCAGGGGGTACCAACTGAACACAGAAGAACCCAACAATTTATCTAAAGCCTTGTCAAGTAAACAGTGGAAATAAACAATTGAGGATGAATACAAGGCATTGTTGAGAAATAGGACCTGGAAACTAGTACCACCACTAGTTAATCAAAGGTGATAGGAAACAAATGGGTGTTTAGAACCAAAGAGAACATTGAAGGGAAGGTAACTAAGTACAAAGCCAGGTTGGTGGCTAAATGTTTTTTTGCAAACCCTAGGTGTTGATTTTTATGAGACCTTTAGCCCAGTAATAAAAGCCTCTACCTAAGAATAATACTTACATGGGTAGTTTGGAAATGGTGGAATATTAGACAGGTTGACATAAATAATGCTTTCCTAAATGGAAAGCTAGAAGAAGTGTACATGAGCCAACCGGAAGGATTTGTCGACAAAGTTAATCCCACGTTTGTGTGCAAACTTGGGAAAGCTCTTTATGGGCTTAAACAAGCACCCAGATCATGGTATGAGAAACTGAAGAAATATTTCTAAAATGGAAATGTATGAAGTCCAAAGCTAATAATTCTCTATTTTTTTTACATGAATCAAGAACAACTCATTTTTGCCTTAGTCTATGTTGATGACATAGTAAGTACTGGAAATGATGATAAATTTGTTGCAGTGTTTCATTGACAAATTAAACACTCAATTTGCACTTAAGGACATGCAACTACTGAGATAGTATGAATAGAATCATTGCTCAAGGAAATCAAACTCTATCTTGGATCAATTCCTATACTACGGTGTGACAACCTCAGTGCAAGTGCATTTGCCTCAAATCCTATCTATCATGCACGAACAATGCACATTGAGCTCGATATACATTTTGTCAGGGACAGAGTTCTTGAGAAGAAGTTAAGTATACAATATGTTCCATCTTCAGACCAAATTGTAGATTTGTTAACTAAGCATCTTACACAAACCAGATTCCTATTTCTTAAGGACAAGCTTGGAGTTAAGTAGTAAACTCCAACTTGAGGGAGGATGTTGAAATACAATTCAACCAAGCACACGTGACTGATTCAACAAGCCGACAACTGCAAATGGATACTGTTAGCTGGTTGTTGTAACCATATTGATTCTTACGTGTATAGGTTAAGTTTGTTACTTCCTTTTCTTGCTTACCACTCTAATCATGTGTATAAATATTGTACTCCACACTATTAATTATTATCAAATTATATACATTCTAAAGTTCTTTGTAATTGTGTATTTCAATTTTATCTGTAACTCTTAACCTTAAATAGTGGTTAGAGTTTGAATTGATATTAAATAGCTTTTTTAAATTTTGAATATTGAAATAAACAATAATTTTATAGAATATTTTCATAATGTATCGTGTCTTGTCTTTTTTAAATAGAGTGAATAGCATCACGTTGTACCTGAAATGATGCAGCACTCAAGGACTAGGTAAACCAGTGGGTGAGTGGCAGCTTTCTACTTGAAATTTTATCCCACCTCTTGGGCATTCAGCTAGCAGTAGGCTATCTATTATGAAAAATGTTGTGTACGGTGTACACATAGCATTATACCCCCGTTACATGGAGAGAGATCCACATAAAATAAAATATTCGTAGGCCCCTTCCATGTGGGAGGGGTATAATGCATTGTGTATATCTCATTGTGTACACATAGCATTTCCCATCTATTTTTCCTCCATGGACTTTATTTAAATGTCTTCAAGGCCTAGTACACTAAACCACACAAACACTAGATGGATTTGGGTTACAAACCCAACAATTTTCACCTTAACACAAATTCCATTGCAATAACAAAATTCTAAAATTTCTCCACCTAAAAAAAAAAAAAAAAAAAATTGACCGCAAGAAATAAACTAAACTCTTCAACAAGAACCAAACTAACTTCTCCAATGAAACTAAAATTCTTCACCTCTTCCATATTATCCAACTAGGATAAATAAATCCAAGCACTGCTCTGTAGAATTACCTTAGGTTTCCAAAAAGTCACAAATTATTTGAAATTTTTCAAAAAGGGTCGAATCACACCCTGAAATAGAATTTACACCAAATACTATTGTAAAAGGCCCGTTGCTAGACTAAACACATTCAAATACACTTAACGAATGCACAACAAAAGTACCATTCTCGTACCTTTCTATAATAGGCCAGTCCCTAGCGATTGAATAGGATGATACCATAGGTGTTGGATATCCTTTGAACTCAATTGAGCTATACTTTTCAACACGGTCCCCAAATCAAATCTTAATGGTATTGTATCAAACTGAATATCCATCATGGTACTAAACCTTTGCAGATTGTTCCTCGACAAAGACATTGCAAGATGTATAACTAGAACTTATTTCGCCCCTACCATACATCTTGAACACCTTTGCAAACTTTTAAAACTTCATCTCCACCGATGAACTTGTACTCTTTTGAATCAAGAGTAGCCAATGAGTTAAGATTATTCTTCAAATCAGGAACATGCCAAATATGATCGAGTGTTCTAATTGTCCCATCAAACCATGCAAACCCTATATGCATTTAGATCACAAACCCAACAATGTTGGTAAACATGAGGGATATATGCTGCATATCTTAAATGGTGGCAAGACCAAACAATTGCTTGAGCTACAATTCTTGATATAGAAAATTTTATAAAGACTAGTGAGGAAAACGTGTATTGCACATTTGTCGGGGAATGTCAAATATAAGTGTATGGTGGTTGTTAAACGGGCATGACAACATTTTATAAATTGGAACTGAATAAAATGAACACAAGAAAGACCTGCAAGTAAATTGCAAAAAGTTATCGTCGCTCTTTGAATCCACACATCAATAATGTCATTGTAAGAATGAATATACACGGTCAAAAGAGTCCATTATTTGCAAGCTCAATTAATCCATACAATTTGAAATAGTCATGCAAACCAAACATAAAATTATTTAAAAAAATCACATTAATTCAATGAAGAACTTTTAACATAATATGGATGTAATATTATTACTCACCGAACTTTTAAAGCACAATTCAAGTAGATGGCAACATTCACAAATCAAAAATGTATTTGGTTAAACAAGAAAATTATTATTTTGATGCATTAGTTGTTCAAAATTATGTTTTTTTGGATTTTGTTTTTAAAAATTAAAAAAAAAAAAAAAAAAAAAAAAAAAAAAAAAAAATTCCTTTCATAGCCTTGTTCAAAATGGGAGAAAAAAAAAATGTAAGCATTAAGTTAAGGTATAACAGTCCTGTGATAGAGCTACACACTCAATCTTTAGATAAGTCGCGAGATGATGCAAACTATCAACTCTAAAGACACTCCCATGTCTCAATCATTTCCATTTTATTCCAAGTGGAAAGTGAGAAAGAATTTTTTATTTATCCAAAATTAGATCTATTTGGTAAATTCACTCTCTCTCCCCCCACAATATGCACTTGTTGTTTCTCTTTTGACTTCCTTCTTCATTATTTGATTTTTTTGGGTTGCTATCGTAATGAAAGATTATAGGGAAGATGAATAAATCTCACAAATGAAAAAAACTCACGAAAATTTTTATTTCTATCAATCAATGTTTCCATAAAGGGCTTATAATGCTTTATATAGCGAAAACCCGAGGGAAACTCAAATTTTTTATTGAATTTTTATTAAAAAAATAAAAAAATTCTAAAAATGGAAATATAAAAAAAAGAAAAAAAGAAAATGACTAAAATTGATGGTCTTACTCTTAAGGATTATTCTCCAACAAACAAATCCGATTTAAATTGATTAAAATATAACCAAAACAAAACTTACCAAAAAAGGAAAAAACTTATAAAAGAAGGCATAAATAAAGAAATTTGCCCAAAATTGACTGTACATTAGAGACGAGTCTTGTTTATTGGCCTATTTGCAGTCAAATTTGACTAAAATTTTGTAAAAAACGGACAAACCCAATTTTTTTCCAAAAATCGAGGAATTGGAGTTCTTAACTTAAAGAAAAGAGAAAAAAAGAAAAAAAATGGAGGTGCACGGTTCTCCACGTGGAGAGGTGTTGCACCTCTCCCGTTGTGTCTCTTCGTGCAACTCTCCACGCTACACAGAGAGCATTTTCTGTAGACATCTTTTTATTTCAAATGATTTGTTTGTAGTGCTGCTTCATCTTTTTTAACCCATGGAAAGCATTAAAAAATTTATCTTCGTCAATAATATGTTTGTGTATATATATATATATATATCATATTGCATATTTAAGAAATCAATAAACAAAGAAAATTGAATAGTGACTTCCGATAGAATTAGAATAGCTAGAATTAATCTGAGCAATCCACAATCTATGAATTCTTGAATAAAGATGTGAAATACTAACCCAAAAAAAAGGAGGCAACATGAAAGAGTTACAAGATGTTATGCACTAAAACTATCCCAACCATTACACAAAAATGTTAACCCATATTCATAAACCTGGCAATCTGCTCCTCAAGTTGTTTTTAAACATGTTATGTCAGTTTTGGCATGAAATTATTATTTAGCTCTTGGATAAAAGGGAAAGAAGATGAAGAAGAAGAACACTAGTGCAAGAATGGTAGATTAAGTGGAAGAATGGGGAGAGAGGACCTCCCAATGGGCCCAATATAACACATCGTTTTAGCTAATGAAATAAGAGGAAAAAATGAAAAAAAGTTAGCGGAGGATGATACATATTTGCAACACGTGTCCTGACACTTCTTTCGCTCTTTTAGATATGTAGGATATGATAGATACAAGTAGAGAGTATAGTAAATAAATTTTTAGTTTTAATTTTTTTCCTTTTAATATTTTTAGTACAATATAATTCTTCTCATCAAACAAGTAAAAATAGGTTGCACCGGGACGATCTAATGAGCAGTATATGTATAGGTGAGTGATTAAGCTACTGAGACAGAGGCAGTTGACACGATATAAAAGCAGGTATTGTGTGTCAATGCATTTGTGGCTCTTTTTTTCAACTGTCTAGTGAATGCTTGACATGTGTCTCCTCTTTAAATCCTGTCAAATGTCCAATTTGTGTAACAAAGTTCATCGGTGAGTGTTAGTTGGCACGTTATGTGCGTACTTCAAGTATGTATAATGCCTAGGGCCACATGGGCCTTGGACATATAGCAGCACTCTTTGAAGCACAGGGAACATGTCAATGTCTAGTTTTTGGGAAGTGGGAGCTCTTAACAGTATGTATGGTTAAGCTTAAAAGGTGCTTAAAATTAGTAGCTTTATTTATGCACTTTTAAGTACATGTATGGCAGAAAACGCAAATAATGCTATTACCATCACAATTTAAAGGATTTTGCAACATGGATATCAAATTTTATATAAAAAATTAATTACTATGCTACATGACACTATCATTTGTTAGCTTAAAACCACAATTAACTTTTTAATTCAATGTTTTCGCTCCGCATCATTTTCGATAACCGCTTGTGCACATTTTTTATGTACAAGTAACAAAATCTCGATTTAAACTATCACAAGTGTAACGTGCAGAGCACTAGTTATTTCGACAAGATGCAGCCACCATTCCCAACAACCATTCTTTTATGTAAGGGGACTAGTAGCATGTATAATGCCAAGTGGTTGTAGGTGGCTCAATTTATGGGCATTTAAAGGTGAGTGAGGGCCAACGGATGAGGTTGGTACATTACCTAACATTGACACCTTAAAGAGAATGGACCTTTTTATTATATATTTTCTTGGTTTTTATTTTGATATCATGACACTATTGAACTCTGTTGTTTCAGATTCAAGTGGTACACGTACAATTTGGTTTTTTTGATCTATTATTAGAAATGGAAACAAAATTGAGAAGGTTTTATATCTGTCTTGCTGCAGTAAATGGCTCGAGAGAAACAGACCGCAAACAAAGCCTTAGCCATTTTGAGCAATTGGAAATAGAAGCACAGAGAGAGAGAGAGAGAGAGAGAGAGAGAGAGAGAGAGATGGCATATGTAATTATGTAACTAAATGGCCCAAATAATGGCATATAAGGAACCGGAAAAACATAGATTGAAGCGCGAAATATTGACTTGCAAATTTAAGAGTGACACAAAAGCTGACCTATAATCAATGAAAAGTGAAGTGGTAATTTAACACATAATAAAAATTATATCTCGTGTGATCTCGTCACATTCCTTGTCATCATATGTTGCGTGTGATATTTGGTAGGCTCGCAGTCTGATTTAGCATCACTAATAGACTTAATAGTAAGAATTGAAACAGGAGGGACACACGGAGTATGGTCTATTTTGAAATAAATACTGATAAATGCGTTTTTATGCACTTATATAACTCACAAACATGACTAAAATGAGCAAAGTGTTTGAAATGTGACCTAAATTCGTTTAATTCTTGGATTGTAGGGTTTGTTGATGGACTTGATGGAATTCACAAGAAAAAGAAGCAAAAAGGACCAAAACGAAGCAAAGTAAAAATTTAGGGACCGAAATGCACATATCCAGAAGATGAACCAAAGGAGCAATCGAAGAATCGATAGTGCCAAGTACCAATTGAAGGTTAATATGAGATGATGGAACAAAATAGTCGAAGAAAAGAGATAATAAATAAGAAGGTTGAGTTTGAGGATTAAAACGGCTCAAAATGGAAGTTTGTTAAACAATGCGGTCACATGGCGTTATTTCCATGCAGTCGCACAGTCCCCAATAGGGGATTTGAACCTCCTAGTTAAACCATGCTTTCGCATGGTGTAAAATTTTGGGTCGATTCTGCAGTTTCCTTTTTACGCTATAACTCTATAGGAAGATGATTTGGACGTGATATAAAAGCCTAGACTCATTAGAATTAGGGCTAGAACGTATTGGAGGAGAACAAAACACTTATTGGAGAACAAATTGAGGGAGATAAACAAGAGATTTCACGAAAAACATCAAGATTTCATCAAATATCAATATCAAGATTTCATCAAATATCAATATCTGGTGATGTTTTATTTTCAAGAATTCATGTATTCCTTTAAATTCTCAATGTTAGGCTAAAGTTTTCTCATGCTAGGAGATCGATGAACTATGTAATATGATTTTTGGATTTTAATTCTTGCAATTTGATAATTAAACGCATATTTGATTATTTGAATGATTTATATACATTAATTTCATCTATGATTGAGTGCACGCTATTGTGTGATGTGTGGTGATTTATTTCTTACATTCAAGAGGAGGGAAATAGATTTGACAAGGTATAGATCATCGAAGGGTCCGATAGGAGATAGAAATATACCTCTATGCTTTACTTGATTTTTTAATTGTTCATAAAATCCCATGCATTCTTATGTATATGCATTTGTCATAAAAATATAGGCTGGTGGTACATAAGAATATGTTCAATATTGCTCGAGAGAGTGTGTTAGATAGGCTTAGGAGCATTGAGTCGTCAGTAATCAAACTGTGTTGTTAGATTGTGAAATTAGGGTTTCAAGTGATTGTTACATAGGAATTCGTGATCCTAGTATTTTCTAATTTTATTGAATACAATCAATTTTGCATTCCAATCATCATTTTGCGATTAATTTCATTTAAACAAATAGTTTGAATAATCAAGTCATTTAGCGAAATTGGGGTTTTCACAAATTAGAGTTTTTTCTAAGAATAAATTCCTATTTTGATAAATTCGTTTCGGTTAAGGTTAAGGTAGATAAAATTAAACTACTCCATCTCTGTGGGACGATATTCGGAACTTAAAATTTCACTTTATTACTTGTTAATGAA